TCTTGTAGCTGTTTGCTACATAGGACACACAGCTATTACAGAATTGCATTCTTGCAGCTCTGCTTTATTTTTTATTTTGCATAAGACCGAGCAATACTCATCACTGTTCTTGTATGGTCTCCATCTAACTAGTAGTCCAGGCCATAATGCTGAATCACCATAACTCCCTTGCCTTCCTCTCTAGACACACATGGTAAGTCATCAACTCCTATCAAGCCTACTTATTTATTTAACATCCCTCAAATTCGGCCTTTCCTTTCCTATTTCCCCATCTGTTCCAGGAATTCATCTTTCTTGCCCTAATGACTACGATTGCTTCAGTCATTTACTTTCCCACTAGTCCTTCCTACACACTATCAGAAAGAACTTTCTACAACACATCTATTCTGAGGGTGTGTCGTCAGGAGGCAGAATGATATTCCCACTCCAGGGAGATGTTTTTGGAGGGCAGTGGGGTTTGAGACAGCATCTCAGTCTAGGCTGGCTTCAGACTCCCAATCCTTCTATGCATGCAGCATAGCTACCGAACATCCATACTAAAGGAAGTTTGGTGAGTAGAGAATCAGCAGTTCTGCTAGTCCATATGACCCAAAACTAGCAATTTCCTGTAGAGAGATATGAAATTACAATGGTTAAGGAACTATAGACAGAATTAAATAAACCTTTACAAGGTGAGTAGAGTGGCTCAAGTGGTAGAGCGCCTTCCTAGCAAGTATGAGGCCCTGAGTTGAAAGTCCAGTACCAAAAAAAATACCTTCAAAGGGTAAAAAAAATGCAAACACTACCATGCCCTAAATCTGCAGATAGTAGAACGGATTCTTGTTTTCAAACATTTTAACATGTATTTTAAATGTTGAGCTTCTGCTTTATAGATGTGAAAGCTGACCTTTAGGGACATAAAGTCTCAGAATTAATAAAGTAGCAGAATCTTAATTTTTTCTAATTCTTGTAATTCAGTGTGCATTCTAGTTTACCATATGCCCATTGTACAGGTGTCTGTAGATAACATATGAAGTAAGGTAAAATTTGTTTTATTTATGATTTCACAAAAAACAGTAAGTAATATAAGGGGCATAAAATGAGTGCCACTTCTCATATAGTGATCACTTTTCAGATTGTATTTTGGGGTCATAATTGAACTGAAGGTTAAGCCACTGTTTTTCAAGTGTTTTATTTGATTATACCTAACTGCATGCAAGCTCTGTGTTGTCTCATCACACTTTGATGAATATATAAATGCCAAGTCATTGCTAGAACTTTCTCTAAAAGTGTGCCATATGTAATGATATGTGATAACATGTCATTACTTTTCCTTTGCCTTCTGAATGAAGATATTATATTCTTAATATATCAGAAACAAAACCCTTTACCCTCTATTTCTCTCTCTTTCTATATATATATATATATACATATATATGTGTATACACATATGTAACAATAATACTAAAAGGTGAAAAATAAGGGTGACTTCTATTAAGTATAATTGCAGCAGGTGCCTGGCAATTAACTATTTCTATTATGACAAATTAAAAACAGCCTATATTTTTCAGAATTTAATTCACTGACAATCTAGCAGTCATTTTAACCAACTTTTTGCCTGAGCAAAATTTGAGTCTACTTCTTTTTTTCTTAACAGTTGAGTGGTCAAAAGACAAAATAAAATTTTTAACCAGAGTCAGATAATAATAAGTTAAAACTGTAAGGTGCTCTTTACTTACAAAGTTCTAGTGTAGTATTTCTTTTGATCATAAAGAAACCATGTAAAGACAGAGAAGTTATCCCCATTCTACAGATATTAAAGTTAAGATCTGTTGACTTGACCATGGTCCCACAGCTATCATAGTGATTTGAGCCTGGGACTTCAGCTCCCAATCTCTGCACTAATTTGCAGGCATTGAGCTGTCCCAAACACATGTTCTTTGTGACATGCACAATGAAGTGCTTAAAAAGTGGAACTATGTAATGCAGTTATTCTGTGACTCCTAACAATAAGAATGCATTGCAGCATATTTTATTCGTATGTCTTTTCTTGTACTGTAGAGTGGTGTTTGTCTTACACTTCCTTTCTTATATATTGCATCTTCTATATAAGCATATGAATAGAGAATGCCCAGCTGCCTGAAAAGACCAGATTGGTACACTATGATGCCTTTGTTTACTCACTGAACAGGCACAACTTGTGCCCTGCCGCCTGCTTTGTCTGCAGTCTTAACCTTGTTCTGTTAGAGCCACCTGTATAAGTGACTGGATAATTAATTCCATACACTGGTTTAGCCTTGGGATATTCTGTTAAGATTAAGTCAGATATTGAAGAAGAGAGTAGAATGGTAGTGGCCAGGGACTGAAGGGTCGCTGAGGAGAATGGGAGATGCTAGTTAAAAGATACAAAGTCTCACTTACAGAACATGAGAGATCTATTGTACATCATGATGACTATAATTAATAACGTGTTGTACACTTAAAAATTGTTAAGAGATTACATACTAAATGTTCTCACCACAAAAGAAATAGTATGGGAGGTAATGGATATGTTAATTAGCTTGATTTAATCATTTTACAATGTACACATATAGCAAAACATCACATGTATGCTGTAAATATATACAATTTTTATTTGTTAATTATACTTTAATAAAACTGGAAAGGAAAGATTAATACAGATAATTCCTTTGAGTATGAATAATATGCCATTCTCTGAATTAGGTTGGAGCCACAGAGATCAGGTTGATATTGATTCTAGAAATGTCACTTATTAAGTTTCTTGTCTTATTAGCATATATTAATTATACAAAGTAATGGGCTTCATTGTGATATTTCATACGTACTTTTTGTTCATTTTCATTCACACATTTTCATATAACACATTTTGACCACATTACCCCTCTTCCTCTCTTGTCTATTGGGAGTTTCACAAATGAAGAAACTGTTTGGAAGAGAGACATTTTAATACCTGCACTCAGAACACCTGAAGTCTGTGCTATGGAATACAAGCTCTGGGTATATCAATATTTAGAGTTAGCACTCTGAATAATTGCTCTGACTTATTCATTTCAGATAGCAGATTTATATGAGATAATAGTATAGAGGCCAGATTTTATCCTTTTTTCTGAGGGGAAAAAGTGATTCATAAAGGATGTCTAAAATGTTTCTCACTTCCTGAGAAGTAGACTTATTAACATAGGGAACTGACACCAGGGCCACTTCACATTGGTAACAACTTAAAATATCAAAGAAGACAAGGCCATGAGTACTCGTTGAAATAGCCTTTTCTAGTCATGTGCCCCAACATTGCATGGAACTGTAAGGTTTGCATTTTCAAGACTTCTAGGAGCCACTTGTACTTTCCATGAAAGCAACTGGCCGTAATCATACAATATGTCAACTAAACCTTAGAGGCTACCGTGTGATAGGAATAGTTAGGCAATAGTTAAGGAGAGCTTACATATGTGCTTTAATTCTAGTCAAACAAAACAATTCCCTTCTCATCCCTGTTGAGATTGTACCCTACTTAAACAAGAGCAGAGCACTCTGTTGCTGGAGGAAAGGAGAAGAGGTGTTGAGTTTTCCTAAGCCTTTTCAGTTAACTGACTGAAACTTGCAATGTTGGAAGATGTGTTTCTGCTACTTACAAAGAGGTTGGTCTACTGGAAATTTAAGTGTGTATGGGCTATAACACCCAACTCCTAAAATTTGTTTCAAGTGACCTTATCTCAATTATTACCAAAACTTGGCTCAGGGCCCACACTTGTTCCCATTCAGTTACTAGAAGTAGGAACCAGAAGATGACCAGAATGACCTATGTGACCAAAAGTGAGGGAGCAGCTTTCCAGAGAGATTAGCTCACTACCACAGAGCCCTCTCTCTATTTCTAAACTGTTTAAATTTGGTTTGCAGGAGATTATTTTGTGATCCTGGTGTGCTTCCTGCATCTGTTTAGTCTTAAATGTTTCCAAAAACATTTTTCAAAATCCTCCCGATTTTCTAATTCTTCCTAATACATGAACTGCTTAATATGTAGTCCATGTATTTTTTTTCTTTTTTAAATCTTTGCTTCAAAATGCAAACAAGTGTGTAAGTCTTAAAAACAGAGTGTCAAAAAAATTGAGAGCTGTTGGAAGCATAGTGGAAGCAAGTGATGGTAGTTGTATTGTTCCTGCTCCTTACAGAAAATATCAGACTGTTGAGTTTTGTCACTTCCATGAGAAAATTTAAGGTATTTTAATTATAGCCCCTGTTTATTTTGTATTCAGGTAAAATAAATGTATTATACTCCCTCTGCTGGCTCAGAAGCTGCTACAGCTCATTAACCAGACCTATTTTTAGATGTATTTCCCCACTTAAAAGACAAAAAAAAGTGGAATGTGGGAAGAGGAAGCAAAAGCTTGGAAACTGCTAATTTTATTATTCCTTTAAAATATCAGGAAAACAAACATCTGCCCAAGGCAAATCTGCCCACAGATAAGCAAGTTTTTAGGCTCTTCAGCACTGTATTAAGAGAAAGGGAGGGGCTGCCTTTCCTTTTCCCGAGGAAAAAATAACAGCCTTTTCAAATTACTTGGTTCTTTTCAAATACTGAAATAATCTTTTCCCAGAGCTTAAGGAACAAACTAGGAGATTACTATGTTTATTTAGTGTGTTCCACACAGTTCGGGGCTGCAGAGGCATTCAATAGGTTATGGTGGAGAGCAGGAAAAGGGTGTCTAGCTAGAAGACCCTCACACTGAAATTTTGCACCTAAGGAAGGCATGAAAGTATGTTATTCACAAGCTGAAGGAGAATCACAGCGCCATGGAATTCCACAGTCCAGGGACCTACAAAGCAATGGTTCTATCCATGAGTGAGGAGAGCCCATCAGAACAGGAAACATGCTTCAGATGTCAGGGAGCCTGAGCATCCCAGGCTCTGCTTCATTCTTATTAATGGACATAGGGAGATCTTCCTGCTAGTCTGTTTTCTGCTTGTTTTCTCTCTTTTCTATTCTTGATCACTTTCTTCCACAGGCGTCTGGATGCCAACCACATCAGTTACGTGCCACCCAGCTGTTTCAGTGGCCTACACTCCCTGAGGCACCTATGGCTGGATGACAACGCTTTAACAGAAATCCCTGTCCAGGCTCTCAAAAGTTTATCAGCATTGCAAGCTATGACCTTGGCCCTGAACAAAATACACCACATACCAGACTATGCCTTTGGAAACCTGTCCAGCTTGGTAGTTCTGTAAGTTTTATTGATTTTGTTCTCTCTTTTAACAGTTTCTAAATTCACTCTGAGACCTTGGCCTTAAAATGCTTACTCTTTAAAGCTTGAATGGAGACACTTTAAGAGAAGAAAAACCCCTGAGTCCCTCCCCCAAAATGACTTACAAATGTTCCAATTGTGTAAATGACTTAAACAACATTTATCAAGTACCTGATAAGTGCCAAGCACTGCTGGGCATACAAAGATAATACGACCTCTGCCTTAGTGGAACCCATTGTATATTGTACAAAAAAAATCACTGCACTATACAGTTAGCACGGTAATCAAAGTTAATAAAATTTTCTTATTTTTAGAATTAGTAGTTCAGATCTAACTGAAAGATGCCTTTATTATATAATAATATTTTGATAATATCTAATAAGTACTTCTTTGTGTGTGTGTCTGTGTGTATATGTGTGTATGTGTTTGTGTGTGTGTGTGTGGTGCTAGGGAGCAAACCTAGGGCCTCACCAATGCTAGGCAAGAATTCTTCCACTGACCCACACCTCCAATCCTGGTAAGTATTTCTTTAGCTAAGAAAAGAGAAGAAAAGAACAACCCTTGACAATGAGTTATGCTTTGTACAGCTGTTTTCCCTGTTAGGTCTAGATTTCATTATTTAGTAAATCTAAATAATTCTCAAATAAGTTTGAAAAGTATCCTTCTTCTTTTAAAATGGAACAATGTGTCCCCTACATGTTTAATGGAATAGTCAATCAATGCTGATATAGGAAGACAACTGCTGCTTAAAAAGCTATAAGATCGGTTTGCTAAGTGTGTGTCAGCTTTCCATCACTGTGACAAAATACTTGAGAAAAACAATTGAAAGGAAGAAAGGTTTATTTGGCTCACAGTTTCAGATATTTCAATCCATGGTCCTTGGTTCCCTTGCTCTTGGATCTGTGGTAAGGCAGGTGGAGCAAAGCTGTTTACCTTAAGACACCCAAGAAACAAAAAGAGAGAAAAAAGGGCTGGCATCACAATATCCCCTTCTAAGGCATGTCCCCAGTGCTCTAGCTTCCTACCACTAGATCCCCACTTCTTACAGGTTCCACTACCTTCCATTATCTCCACAGTCTGGCAACCAAGCTTTTAGCAGATGGGCCTTTGGTGGACATTTATGATCCAAACCATAGCACTTAGGAACTTTGAGCAAGGCTTCTTCTGCACTATTTCTTTTTTTGCTCCATGCCCACTCAATGACTCACTAGTGCCTCCAATCATCCCACTTTATTTATTGGACTTGTTTACCTGTCTGTCTCTTCCACTGTAGTATGTACTTCTTTCAGGGCTTGCCCAATATCTTATCCATCTTTTATGGCACCCATCAGGTCCCGTCTTCATCTGTTGCATGAAAAAGTCTCTTTATAAATGTTAAATAGGTCTCACATGAAACCAAAATTCACTTAGTAGAACAAAGATCTTAGTCCAAAAGGAAAAGAATTTTTTTTGGGTGGGCAGATATTAGCAAATACCTAAACTGAATTTCACATATAAAGATAATGCTACTGATCCAACAGAAGCTGGATATGGGCTTTAATTTTTTTCCTCCACTAGAAGGAATGGATTTTTAGAGATCCAGGTAATTCTTTTTTTACCCCATCTACCTTAAAACCATTTTCCGAAATCTCTTTGGGAGCTAGTCCAGTTTTCACTTGTGTACACAGCTGTTCTCATTGGCTCTGGCCTAATTGACTTACCAATTAAGCCAAACATGATAATTATACACATTAATACTATGTCAAGATAACTAATCTTCATGGGCAGCTGAAAAATATCTGATCACCATTCTCTGTAGTTGAAATCGTTTCCTGTTGACCTGGGAATATAGCCATTATAAGCCTTCTGCTTTAAGAGAAAACATGCTCAGTATACCTATGAGCTTCCTTCTGTCCTCTGTGAGTAATGTTGATCAGTATCTCTACTTAACATTCTATATCCTATAGCCATGCTGAACAAACCATATAGAAAAATATGCTGAAAAACTTGAATTTATTTATATCAGTCATGGTGCTCCCTCACATCTCCAATCCAAATAATAAAACCATTATTATCTTTTAGATTCTGTGTTATACAATCATCTATGACATGAGTGAATAGGGCATACAGACTTTTTAAAAAAGTGTCTATTTCTTATAATTATTGTATTCCTTAGCATAAGTTTCCTTGGATTTAAGCAACCAAAATATTGTTCCTAACTTTTCTGTGTGCAGTATGCCTTTCTGACTGTCTGTAACTTTTTTCTGCAGCCATCTCCATAACAACAGAATCCACTCCCTGGGAAAGAAATGCTTTGATGGGCTCTACAACCTAGAGACTTTGTGAGTTGACCTTTTATTTGTTTCCCATTTTTCAGTATTTTCATGAATATTCTGAAGGAACCAAAATAGTCTTAAAGCCAAACTTGCTGTTTGCTTTGGTTAATTGCTGAGCTTTAAATAGATATTTAAGTTTATCTTACACACACATACACATGCACCCCCCCACACACACACACCATACAGAGCTACAATAAAACTGAGATTTTATTTTAATCTCATCAAAGTCATAAATTAGTTAGAATAATTAAAAGTTAAATGAGATGCTGTATACTAAGCAGTGATTGTTTAGTATCATGAACAATGCTAAGGAATTCCCAAACAATGCTAAGGAATGTGTATTATCCATCAAGGATCAACTCTATACTGTCACTTAAGCTCCCTGCTCATGAGTTTGGTCTTCTCTGTTGAATGAGAGGATACAAACTAGGCAAACCCTGAAGTTTCCAATCTGAGATGAGCAGGCACCTCATGAAGAAATAGGGAAGGTTTATGCTAAAGGAATTCAAAGGCCTAAAAGCTAATAATAGCTACCATTTATTGAGTATATTTATAATCAACTCTTGCACTGAGCACTGGCATATGTTGTTTCAATAATTTTTACAAGTATCCTTTGAAAGCAGGTATTACTATCGTATCTTAGGTTCTAGTTAGGATAAATTATTTTACCAATATTAATTATCTAGTCAATAGCATAACTGAGATTTGTTCCTTCTCTAGTCTGATTTTGAAATACATTTTTACCTCCAGATACTACTTACAAAGAATAGGTCAAATTTTCAGTAGTTCTTTCAGGCACAACCATGCATGCCTGTAGTAACTATAGTTCCCATACTTGTATTCAGGATGCTGAGGCAGGACCATCACTTGAGCCTAGAAGTTTGAGACTAGCCTGGGCAACATAGGGAGACCCCCCACCCCGAAAAAAGAACAAACAACAAAAAAAGTTCAGTTCTTAATTGGTTCCTATACAAATGAATCCAATCTACTGACCATATCCTGGATCCAATCCCAGAGCTAAGGTATAGGTTCTCACAGGCCACACCAGGGTGCCAGCCTTTTCCCAGTGGAGCAGCTGCTCTTCATCACACTACTGAGTGGCAGATGCCTAATGAGGATTCACGTAGTGCTGGTCAGGCAGTGAGGGCCCTGAGTGTGCTAGAAGAGAAGGGTGGTTGCTATGATGTCTCCCTCCCCAGTCTCACATTTTTAATACTGAGATGCAATAAACCATGCAAAGCTACTGAATCTACAATGCTGGTTCTGACCAGGACTGAAAATGACAAGGACCATTTCCCTTATGATCTTGGAACCCATTGTTCATTTGCATACTGAGCTTAGGAATATGCACAGTCAATTTAGCTTCTAAACAGGTCAGGATCTATTTGCTTCCTTAAAGACCACCTGTCATTGGCTTTCTTGTAAGCTATGAGCACTAACAGTTTTCTTTCAAGATTCCTTAAGTCACTCTATGTTTTCTCATATGTGTCAAAGATGAACTTGTCCAGGCAGGACCTCAATGCCAATTTAATGGCATAGGCAGGCTGTTCCCATCAGCTACTAGGAAAACTTAGAAGTTCTCTCTTATTTATTCTATACAGGGATGCTGGGGAAACTTCCAGTCCTTTTTTGGAACAGGACAATAGGATCAAAAATTGAGATGGGCTTTAATGGGCATTTCCTTAAATAGTTTTTCTTTTTTGCCCAATCCTGCGTGAGGATCCAGGTTTACATACAAATACCATAAAACAAAACATTTCAGGCTAAAATTCATGAATCTCATTGTCTCCCCACACTTTGCCTGGAGCTAAAGAGGATAAATAAATTTGTTATTTCCAACCTCTTTTTTTCACTCACTAGAAATCCAAGTAATTTATAAGGGCCCAATCCTCATTTAATCAAAACAGAGCATCTGGGGAGATTTACAAACAGAAAGAAAATTTATGTTCACAAAAGACATGAGTTTCCTGCCTGCAGTATAGCTTAAGGATGGTTTGTGCCAGAGAAGTAGGAATCTGGATTCATGTTTAACTCAAATTATCTTTTTCTTAAAATTAAATAGCAATTCTTCTCCAATGAAGAGAATCTAACCGCATCTGATTGCCTCCCCAGAAGGTTTTGCTGTGTCATTTGGGAAATGACAGAGACCAGAAACCAGAAGGCAATTACTTTTTCATATGAACATGTACATATAAGGTGAAATAGGTCTATAAAACGCTTGTGAGTAATGGAATTGGAAAGCCATTTGTGTCATAACAGATAGGGAAATTAATGATTTGAGATTGTCTGGCCCTTCTATCTCTGCATATGAAGGAGAATATAGAACTTTGCCCCACATACCAAGGAAAATGTCAGACTTCTGATACAAACCATTATTTGTGACCCAGAGGAAATTCTAGACCAGATGCCCTTGTTGAGAGTACTCTATATCACATAAGCCTCTCCAGAAACAAGTCTCATTCTGGACTTCAGGCTGGGGAGAGATGGAGGCTCTCCACAGGAGTCACGGACAAAACAGCCCTCCAAGATGTTCTCAAGATGTGATTCCCAAGCCAGGCACAAGTGGCTCATGCCTATAATCCTTCCTACTCAGGAGGAAGAGATTAGGAGGATTGCCAGCCACAGGCAAATAGTTCAGGAGACCTTATCTCAGAAAAAAAACCCATCACAAAAAAAGGCCTGGTAGAGTGGCTCAAGTGGTACAAGTACCTGCCTAGCAAGCATGAGGCCCTGAGTTCAAACCCCATTGCTGCCAAAAAAAAAAAAAGTTGTAATTCAAGGGGCCTGAAGAGAGCAAATACAAGCTGTCAATGTAGTGAACTAGGTCCAAATGAAGAGTTCCATCAGCAGGCTGTCAACAATCCATTCAGCAAGCTTCACTGCTACTTGGAAGTTAATGCTGCTGCAGATCCCTCCCTAGTTTGAATGCCCCAGTGCCATTGAGCCTTGACTCTGAAATTTCTCTTGATCAGTGTAATGGCCATTTTCATGTACATACTTGAGGGATGTTGATGGTCAACAAGTCAAGGAAACCTCTCCATAAAGAAAGGGAATAAGAACTTCCGTCTGTGATTTGGGCCCATTGGAATAACATGTTAACTTAGCTTGTAACTATAGTATATACCAATTTTTAAATGAAATACTGAAAATACTATTCCCTCATTTTCAGAGATTTGAATTATAATAACCTTGATGAATTCCCCACTGCAATCAGGACACTCTCCAACCTTAAAGAACTGTAAGTATTTAGGACTATTTTTATTTTATTTATGTGTTTTTCTGGAACTGAGGTTTGAACTCAGGGCTTCATGCTTGCTAAGCAGATGCTCTACCACTTGAGCGACACCCCCAGTCCTAAGACAAATTTAATGGAAGAACTTTATTCTTTGTGAATTTTATTTTAAAATGTGTGATCATTGCACATTATGACTTGCTGGAAAAATGCTTAAAGTTTATATAAATAATAGTTAAGTGAAGTTGAAATATATTCTAACTTATTCCTATCACCAACAAATGTCTGATTTTTTAACTTATGAAGTTCTTCCCACATATGTAAGAAATAAATAGTTCATATTTCTCTAAGCCAGACTCTTTTCTCTCTATTTAAGCCACACATGTTCCCCTAATTTATATACTTTATAGATTTGTAGTAGAACTGTAATCGAATTCAGTTATTTGTTGGGCATTTCTAAGAACACAAACATTTCTAGGTTGAATGAGTGTAGAACTGGATGAATAAAATTGTATGTGCCTTATATGAGATACTTTCATATATACTTTATTACATGCATTACTCCTAAAATGCTGCATAAAACATTTAATTTTTGAAAAACCCGATTTTACTAAAGGAAAGCTAACTTTCAACCATTAGGTTATTTATATATTATCTTTACATGATAAATCTTAAGTAGTTTTTCTTTTTACCTAAAAAGATAAATAATCTATGTAAATAATGTTCTAACACTTAAAAAAAAAATCAACCTTGAACCTGATTCCCCTGGCAGTGAGGAATTAAACACACAGCAGAAGAAGGTAGACAGGGGAGCCCATTAATAAGAAAAAGCCTTCAGGAGTTCTGCCTCAGGAAATCCCACCTGTGGCTCAGCCGGACAGTCTTCATTGTACAAGGTCAGGCAGCCCTAAGACTGAAACTCACCTCATACAGCTGCAGACCCACGTAAGATTCAAAGATCCTTGACTCTACCATTCAGATATCATTAGCCCCCAAAGATGAGAATAAATTTGTTATCACAGATCCACCAAGCTGGGGCACTTTCCTTAGAGTCAGAAAAATTTGTCCTCATAAGGAGATTACTTAAATCTCTACTTCACTGATACTTAAGTCAATTTTCTCTTCTCCTGGCTTCAAATGGAGTCAAGAGGATTGATCCTAATCCTTTCTCCACTCCTCAAGCTGTTATACAACATGAGCTCTTGAGTATTAACGGGTGGATTTTTCTTAAATTGCAAATTTCCATTAAGTACATTGCAAAATATCTTTTCCTCTTTCAAGATGACAGCATGTGATTTTTGTCTCCTCGAGAGTAAATGAGGGTACATAAGTTTCAAGATGCAGAAAGAAGTTACCTTGCACTCTGGTTACTAAAGGTGCCAAAAGTTTACCACAGTGGGGAGGGGTATTAAATAATTTTACCCCACACATGATTTTCTATAAACTGTTTTTTTTTTTTCTCTTTCTAGAGGATTTCATAGTAACAATATCAGGTCGATACCTGAGAAAGCATTTGTAGGCAACCCTTCTCTTATTACAATGTAAGTGACAGTAGTGCTTTTTGGTTTGTTCTTCCTGAAATATAGCACATATTGTACTTTTAAATAATCCATTGAATACTCTATATTGGCTTGAGTTTTGTCTCGATCACTATAATAATCTATACAGAGACATGTATATGAAGTTATTTTGCCAGGTTTCAGCTAAAAACTGAAATAATATAAAAGATTCAGGGTTTATTTAGGATCTGTGCTGTCCTTTGCATTATACCTGGCTTCTTCACATGCCTTGTTGCATTTTACCATAAATCTTATAAATGCTTTGATTACCTCTATTTTCTAAGGAATAAAAGCAATCTTTAAAGCATTAATGCAGACCACATAGTCATTCAGGACTTCAACTCAAGAATTCTAGAAATGTAAATTATTATATGCCAATTGTTGACCCTTGTAAGCAATAAAGTGGTCTAAATTGGGAGGGGGATTAGGGTAGACGAAATATTATTATATGCTTCCTCTGTCCACTCATTGTCAAGCCCAAACAGTAAGTGACAACCTAGCATGTAATACTAGATAAGTGCATACGTTGTAGAAAGGTGTATATGAGGATTAATATGCCATAAAAGAATAGTTACAACTACAAAGTCAAAGTAATCTTGTTTCAAATTTAGCATGGACAGATTCATAGACAGGTACGTAAGTATTTGACTGACTCTTAGTTAAAAGACACCTATTCAAGGCAGGTTTGGGACATAGTATTGACCTGGGGTCATTAGTGAGGGGTCTGAAGTATAGAGAAGAGTAAGAACAATTGTTGAATATGACTCTGGAGGAACTTCCTGGCAGAGGTACCTGTGGTGCCAACTTGACACAGAGGCTTTCAGGAACCATGTGGCATTTATCAACAGATAAGCTGAAGTTCCAATTAGCCCTGACAACTGAAAAAAAAAACAGAACAAATCTAAGCTAATGCGCGCACGCACGCGTACACACAGACACACACACACACACACACACAGACACACACCACTCATCATCTTTGAAATGTTCTGGAAACATTTTGGCAAGTGAAGGCTTTGAAGTACATTGACCAATTAACATTAGCCCTCATTAGAGAGTATATTAAGAGGTTGCAAATCGCAGTGCCTTTGCTCCACTTTCCTTGCAGCCCTTATCACTCTTTTGATATGCTAATACCTCATGTGGAAGATTAGCAGTCCCCTTAGTTATTAGAGCTTCTAGCCACTGTTTGACAGTATTGGCCACTTTCCCTCTGAAACCCTCTTCTCCTTGCGCCTGTATCCATTTCCATCTCTCGTCACCACCAGCCCCTTCTAACGCTCCTATCTCTGCATGCTTCCTAAGTCCTGCTGGCTACCCAGTCCTCATTTATTGCCTCTGCAGTCCCTATCCCTATGCACTCTTATCTCTACACTTCCAGCCTCTCTACTGGCCATTACTTCTTGATTTTTAGCAATCCAGATAGAGCTGTCTCCCTCTCTCCACAGTCAGCAGGATCATTTCTCTTGAACCACAGCATCCATTTTGTTAGTCCCTTGTGGTACAAAAGACATTCAGGATTTCCTATTTACATTAAATATAAAGTCTTTTCCCTGACATTCACAACCAACCCTCCTAACCCACTTCCCCAAAGCTCCTCAATGAAGCCACAAATCAGACCAACTAAGCTGTGTCCAGAGGAATGAAGCTCTTTATTTCCTTCCTTTCTATAATTTTATCCCCTCACTAAACTGATGGAAAATTGACAGAAGTCTTCCAGAGCCCATTTTAAATGCCATCTTAGGAAATTTTTCTTAGTCTCCCCTAACATATGAGAGAACTCCCTCCTAAGAGCCCCAGAGTTCTTTATTTGTATCAGTGACACTTTGACTTATTCACACAAGCATGTACATTCATTCCTGCCCAGTAATATACATGTATGTTTGTATTATGTGTATATAAGCATATGGTATAACTAAGGGATAATGTGGTATAATAAGGAAAACTCCATTTTTAAAATCATAAGGCCTATATTCCAGCTCTAGCTCTTTTACTGACTGTCTCATCCCAAGGGAAAAGAAGAGGTCAGCCAGTAAGAGGACAGAAGAGCACTTTGGTAACAACTAAATCCTGGTTTCTATGCCAGATATTATACATGCATTAGCCTTTTCAATTTTTACACAACCCCTTCAACTAAGTATTATTATCTCAGTTTAACAAATTAGAAAATTGAGGGTCTGAGAAGTAATAAGCTTTCCAAGGTATCTGAGCCTCAATTTCCTCCCCTGAGAGTGAGGAAAATAGTATCTATGCTGTGGGCCAAAGTTTCTGCATGGATCATTTGACATATGTATGTTTATCATATATATGAAGTGCTTTGTCAAACAGAAAGTAATATGCTATTATTGGTTTTATTCTAACTGATTCCAAGCTTCTTTAGGTTAAGAATATTTTATCATTCCTCTTCAACTCCTAGCATGTAGAATAATGGCAGGCACTTAGTAGAAATACAATGACAGCTCCTTTAATAAGTGAATCTTAAAATTCTGCAATACCTACCCTCATAAATTGTTGAGGATAGTAAAGATCAATTAATATTTGTTGAATTTGTTTGAACTAACAGGATGCGTCTGCTAATGACTTTGCGTGGGACTCCAAGCAGTTCAAAACACTTCAATTGCACTAAAAGATCTATAAAACAAAATATTCCTTAAGTTCTCACCTTTAGACCAATAATTAATGCAAGAAAATTCTAACAGTAGATAAACCCCAGAGTAACTCATTTCCTCTCAAATAATTTGAAGTGACCCCATGTCAATGTTATGGTAATATTTGACTAGCACATAGAATCTTCAGCAGATGTAAATATATAAACTTCATCTTTCTTTAGTGATAAAATTATCAACACTTTGCATTACCATTTTGCCACTCAGTGAATATTCCACAGATGTTGGAGACAGAGAAAGTTTTTAAGTATAATCACAGTCAGTTCACTTGCTGTTTTATTTAGTAACTGTCACTCATACCTGCCTTGCTGTCAGAAATTTTAAATTTCATATAGTATAGATTCCTTAACAATAGTCTCATAATGTGAGCTAAAACTTTTGAAGTTTGCCTGGAGGCCTGTAATAAGGAATGTTATATAATACAGTATATCAAAATTACATAAATACATTGAATGTTTTTTTGAAATTTTAAACAGACATTCACTTGCCATTCAAATTTTATATTAAGACATTGGTGTTTGGATTTTTTCAGACATTTTTATGACAACCCAATCCAATTTGTTGGAAGATCTGCCTTTCAACATTTACCTGAACTAAGAACACTGTAAGTGTCAATTTCTTTCGTAGATCACATCTCCCTTCCTTGCAGAATTTCTGTGAAGACCAAATGGATATTATAGATTGAAGCACTGTAAAAATAGCAGCAAAAATTACTTCTTTCTAGAATCTTCTTCTAATAATAGTGATATATTCTTCCTTCTAGGACTTTGAATGGTGCTTCACAAATAACTGAATTTCCTGATTTAACTGGAACTGCCAACCTAGAGAGTCTGTAAGTACTTGAGTGGGCTCTTAACTTTGCCCCATACATACATTAACCTTACAGCCTGATCAGCCTTAACATCCTTGAATCATAATATGTCACTGTGTGATGCGTGAACGAAAGAATTATGTCTGGTTTCTATTTTAACAGGACTTTAACTGGAGCACAGATCTCATCTCTTCCTCAAACCGTCTGTGATCAGTTACTTAATCTCCAAGTGCTGTGAGTATCAGTAAGGCAATCATGTTATATAAACAGGCAACTTCCATTTAGAAGTAAAATGGCAGACATTATTTTAATAATCTTTTAAAAAGGGAGAGAGCTCTTTCCCTGCAGGTCTCTAGAAGGTCAGGCCTCCTCTGTTACCTTCTTTGGTCTGAGGCTGTCCACCATGACCCTAGTAACAATGTTTGTGTACCTTTGTTTTCAAGGGCAAACTCTTGCCTATTAGAGGTACAATTGGCACACATTTTCTTCCAGAAAATGGAAATAAACAAACCAAAATAACTTCATTTCCTCTCCTAAAGGCTTTGCAGAGCAAAACAAAATTGCATAATGGATCAACAGCCTAGGATTAATGCCAAAACAAAACAGTTATCAAACTGGCACAAACTTTGATAAAGTGATCAAACACTCTTCTGGTATAGTTGTAGGACCCATGGTCTAATGTTTCCTCTGATGGCTAAACAGCTTGTATATGTTCTTCCTATCAGCTTGGGGCTTTCTCTCCCTCTGTTTTCCTTTTCCCATGAGATTTGAAGAGCCTTTTACTTTTAGCCTTCTCCCTCAGCTCTCACTCAACCCTACCATCATCCTTTTACACATTGTTGAGACTTAATGAAGGGATCCTCCATCTCTTGCAGTGGTTCTGCTCTCACAGAATAGACTTGTTACAGGTGAGTGCCTATGATTTCACCATAGGCTTTGCTTAGTAGTAGGACAAGCAACACCACATATGTCAAATAGAAGAATGGGAATTTCTGCCTTCCCTCATTCCCCAGGCTGTCTGGCCACCACAGACTTCAGTTGCCCAGTGATATGGTGGTGCAATCACACCACATGGAGGACTTAGAGTCAGTCATACATATGTGAAGGAAGGCATATTGAGCAAGTCTCCTCTTCTGTACCCCACTCTGACCTATGGGGGACAGATATAGTTGAGAAAACCGAGAATTAGGAAAGTTAAGTACACTTGATTTGTCAAAGTCATACTGCAATAAAGTAGCAGAGTTTGAATTCAAATATAGTCAATTTGATTGAAAAATTAAGAGAAAAATGTGTATGCACCAAGTGGTAGAAATTTGGGAGGCCATCTTAGAATTCTTCTTACTACATGCACAAGAGGTATTATTATCCCCATTTCTTGAAGAAACCGGCTCAATAACATGACTAGGATTTCACATACTGTAGCTAGTAAGTAGGGAGCCAATGTTTAAACTGTACTTTCTCTACTATGTCCCAAACTGCATGAACGGAGGCTAGCAGGGAAACTAGTTGAGAGCAGACTCCAGAGCCTATTTTTCCACTCTCCAAGCATCAGCATAGTATCTTGAGCAAGTTATTATCTCTTCTGGGTCTCAGTTTCCCAATCTATAAAATGGAGAAGTAGCCACTTCTCAGGACCATCATGAAAATTAAATAACTTCATGTCAAACTCATAGCATCATCTGGAACATCGTAAATTTTAACTCTTTCACTTTTCTCATCGTAAATTTTAACTCTTTCACTTTTCTCATCGTAAATTTTAACTCTTTCACTTTTCTTTTATACCACTGTTCTTTCTTTAAGGTATTATTTCTTCACATGGGAAACTGAAAGGTCTGTAAGAACATAAATATACTAATAACAATATCTTGCCATTTTCCAAACTTTACCTATAATATTCAATTGCTCTTTACAACATTCCTGCAAGATGGGAAAATCAGGTGTCTTTTCATTTAAGGACTGAACCAAGAAAGACAACTATCAATACTTGGTATGATGTATCAACCAAGTAGAATCAATTGAAGTTGAGATAAGAACCAAGGACCCTGACCTCTGCAGTCTCCTTAACAGTATAAGTCTGAGAGCTCCTCTCCTTTGGCTGTATCTTCCACTAAGTACTGGGTACATGAGGAAAGTTCACTGTACATATGTTGCTTTGCCCCCAAATTGCTCTATCCTCGTGGGAATTACCTGGCTCACCATTCAGATTATGTGTGGCTTGACCCACTTACTAGCTGATAATCATAGGTAATCATAGATAATCATACCATACAGGGATAATTATAGCGTCTCCCTCATAAGATGGTCATAGGATTAAATGAGAAAATTCAAGTAAAGCTATAAACATGGTGCTTTTACATAAGAAGTTCTTGATCAATCATGGCTAGCCCATGAAAATCATTAAATAGAAGATAGGTAGAAAGCAACACTATGTCTTTATGTAGAAAAAGGTTTTATGTATTCTCCACTATGATGTACATTTGGAAGGATAGCCCACACCCTTGCGGACTATAGCGATGAATGAACCAGATTATTGTCATCTTTGAAAATACACACCACCATTTTAACACATTCACTACCTTCAAAAATACATATCATGTTGTCATAGATGTGGAGGATTTTATTTGTTTTAGTGTATTTTGTTTTTGTTTGGAAGTGGGACAGTCTTTCAAACCTCTAGTATAAAGTACAAATTTGTATTTGCAATCAGCTTCATTTGAACTATTACATACAGTAATTGAACTATATTTCTATCTAAATCCCATTTATTCAATAAATGTAGGGTAAAGTGACTTATAAGAATAGAGCAACTTAAAAGCCTCTTAGAACATTATGGATTTTTCAGTTGCTTAGTGGTGATCTGGTTTTAAGAATTAGAATCAGGCATGAAAATGTGTTAGATGATTAGATGATAACTTTTAAAACAAGACAAGAGTTTATGTATATATACATATATATGTATGCATATATATATATAAAATGTTACTTCATCTACCAGCTTTCTTTTTTTTAAGGTTTCTGCAAATTACCATGGTTTGTTTTAGATTAGTTATATTATAGTATAAATATGTCCAGATGTTTTTGTTATTCTGTAATTTGTTGAGTTTTGGCTGAAGACATTCTTAGGTTTTTTCCCCTCCTCGTAGTGATTGATTTCAAAGTTAGTGGTACGTTTTGAGTTGTTGGATTTTGTTTTTAAGTTGATTAGAAAAAAGCCAACACGATTTCTCTTAGCTGTAGAGATTGCAGCAGTTTTTAGAGACAGAGACATAATTACTTAATCTAGTTTGCACTCATTTCAGTAAGAGAATAGCTAGAACATTGCAGATCATCACTAACAAAATTTAAATAAATTCATTAAGAAAATTATCTAAATCAATTAAAGAAGTATAAAAGTTACATTTCAATAAACATTTGAATCTATTCCTTAATCCAATAATGCCTGTGTCTACCTGCTCCATGTCAGAGCTGTGGAAATGTCTAGAGTCAGTCAGCCTTTTAGGAATCATAACATCTTGCCGGGAAAAGGAAAGGCACGTTTCCTTATGATTAATATGTAACAGATTTTCTCCTTTGTTCACCTTCTGTTTTTCAGAGATTTGTCTTACAACCTGTTAGAAGATTTACCCAGTTTTTCAGCCTGCCAAAAGCTTCAGAAAATGTAAGTCTCTGAGGGTCTCTAACTTACCCAGAAAAAAAAAAAAAACCCAGATTCACATTTGTCAAGGTCAATGGTTCCTCTACTTTGTGAAAACATTTGTGCCTTTACTCACTAGTGGGCCATTGGCAAGATGTCTGATGGTTTTCCTTCTCACACAAGGTGTGACCATATATGCTGGCTAGAAAGTTGGGTAACAGACAATAGTACTTTAACATGCATTGTACTGTGATATCAGTAATCCATACTATATATTAGTATATATCTGCTTATGAATAATACATGCACACATGTACTAACTCAATGTGATATAGTGAAGTGAGTTAGTCTGAGCATTGGAATTTTTCTTCTTTAATACGTACAACAAAACTTGATGTTATTTTTGAATGGGGTGACTTGAGTTTGTTGGTATGTTTGTTTCACATTAGCTATATTTAGAAGATACCATATTTGTCATATCTGAGGTACCATAGACCATACATGAAACATTTTGGTATTCCTCTCTTAAAACTGCCTTTCCCACCAAATATCAGTCTTATTGCTTTATAGTCACACTTCCATTTTTATAATAACAGTATCAAACATCTACCCTTTTACACTTGATTTTTTTCTGACAACCTTTGGGTGATAATGTGAGAAAAATAAAGCAAGTCCATCTTTTAAAAGGTAAAGATTTGACACTCCTGAAGACCTCCAAAGAAGCTAAGACAGGCTCAGGGAGGCAGTTCGAAGAGTCTTCAAGTGTTTGAATGATGATGGCATGCTTCGAATATGGTTGCATATCCTCCCAAGGGAGCTAGCTGCTTTGAAAGAGAGGTGATACTTATTTGAGTGTACAAGTTGTAGTGGTTTTTTTTTTTTTAAACAAACAAAAAACAGTCACTTGATAGTCATAATTCATGTGTTCTTTTGACTGAGAGTAGGTAGTCTCTCTCTAAGAGTTCTCTGAAGTCTGTAATCTTGAAACCAGTAACTTTGAAATCAATCTTTGGAACTCTGTTGTTTCAGTGACCTCCGACATAATGAAATCTATGAAATTAAAGTTGACACTTTCCAGCAGTTGCTTAGCCTCCGATCTCTGTGAGTACCACCTCCCAGACCACCAAAACACATAGCACTTTGTCTTTAGGGCCTTCACCTAGCATTTTCTTTTCGCTGTGTACTCATGTTGTTGGGCCTTTGTGTATACATTTGCTATGAAAAGGCAAGTGTTTTGCTCCTGATAATTTCCAGAAATAAATTTAAAATTAGTAAATTTGCAATATGGTCCCCACCAGTTAGCAGACATGCAACTTTGAGGAAGAGGAAAGAAGCTAAACTGTTGACCCTGCACAATGTCCACAACCTGAATTGGTGGGGATCAGTTTACATATAAAAATGGGATGATGACACAAGTCTTCCTGCCTGCTTTTCTTTTCTGGTGAAGCAGAGTTTTGTGTGTCTCAAAGTACTTAAGACTTACCTGGCAGTGATGGTTAAAAATATAGACTCCAGGTCAGGTTCTTAGCTGCCTGGGGAAATAGAATCTCTGAAGTGGGGTGTGGAAATCTGCATTTTAACAAGCCCGCTAAGGTTTCAGCACAGTCATCCAAGAAATGCTTCTATCACTCACACAATTAAGATTTGTAATTAATTCCATTTGTGATTGAAAATATTACATATCTTAAAAAATGAAGCGATGGGATTACATTTAAAATTTTTTAATTTAAATTTTAAACTTAGAAAAAGAAGACTTGCTAACAGATCATTTTATGAAATAAATTAAAACTTTTCTATACTGAAATTACATTTTAATATGATTTTGATGAATGGTGATGGCATGCAAAGTTTAAACTGAATTGTTGCTAGAATTCCTTTTCTTTTGCTGACTTTTAAAGTTTTTCTTAATACTTCAGAGAGTTTACCCTTGGTAAAATAATGCCATTTCTTAAAACATATTAAATTTACCTTTAAGAATCACTTTCTCCCAAAAATTTACTTCGAGAACCATTTTCTTCTGAATTTGGTTGTGTTGCCCTTTTCCTTACTTTTGGTATAGTTTAGTAGTTATTTTACTTTAAAAAAAAATAAATATAAAAACACATCATCTGCTTTCATTACCTATTTTATTCAGCATGTTTGAATTTTGGTTGTTTCCAAAAGTCAGGTCTGTTTTAAAAGGCTGATCTCTAAAGATAGCAAAAGAATGTGGCACAGACTCTGAAAGCTAAATACAAGTCTACCTGAATTCCTTCTTCCCCTCAGGCCTCCAATCCAATCACTCATCAAACTCTGACAACTCCAACTCATTCTCTCCATTCTCCTACCACAGGCCCATCTAATGACTCACCTGGATCACCATCCTCCTTCTCCTCCTACCATTGAGCTCATTCTCCAAGAGACATAAAAGCAAGCTTTCTTAAATAGAATTGTACTACTTCCCTACTTTGGAAACCTTCTATTATTACCCTGCTGTCTTCAAGATCAAGACTAAACTTCTAGTCCTACTCTTCAACTTTGGATTCTAAACTACTGGTTCATCTTCATCAATTTCAAATGCATTCCCAGTCCCCTGACCCTGTTCCTCTTGTTCCCATTGTCATTTGGATTCCTCCCCATCCTTGACTTGTCCTCTTTCCATCCATAAGAACAAGCTGTCCATTCTTTGAGCCCACTCCATTCTGATGCACTTTGCACATTCTCTGTGGTAGGACATAGCACTCAGCACTCTCATCAGGTAGACCATGCCATACCCAAAACGAGAACATTTTCATCTTGTTTCCAAGGTAATGCAGTGCTTCTCTCATTGCTTACTTAAGAATTCAGAGCTGGTGGAGTGGCTCAGGTGATAGCTGCCTACCCAGAAGTGTGAGGCCCTGAGTTCAACCCCCAGTACCTACCAAAAAAAAAAAAAAATCAAACTAAGTCTGAGAAAGATCAGGGACTTTAAAGTCAGTGTGTTTTAGTTTGAAGCCAGCTCCTGAGATTACTTTGTGACTTTAGACACCTGCCTTATCACACATCCTCATTTCCTTAACAGAAGCATGGAGGTAATGACAATACCTACCTCCCAGGATTGTGTTGAGAGTTATAAGGCAATAAATGTGGAAAAACTCGCATTTGTTCGTTATATCTCCTGAATATTAATCCCCTGTCAGATAAATAGCTGGCAAAGATTTTTCTCTCATTCTGTAGGCTGCCTCTTCACTCTGGTATTTGTTTCCTTTGCTGTGTAGAAGCTTTTTAATTCGTGATGCAATCCCATTTGTCAATTCTTGCTAGTGGTTCCTGAGCTATTGGGGTCCTATTCAGGAAGTCCTTGCCTAAAGCCAGGCATAGTGCCACATGCCTGTAATTTTAGCACTCAAGAAGCTCAGGCAGGAGGGTTGACACTTCGAGGCCACCCTGGAACTACATAGCAAGTTCCAGGCAAGCCACAGCTGTATAATGAGATCTTGTCTCAAATTTAAAAAAAAAGTGTTGCTATGCCTATATCTTGAAGTATTTTTTTTCTATATTTTCTTGTAGTAATTTCAAAGTTTCAGGCCTTATTTGAAGGCGTTTGACCCATTTTCAATTGATTTTGGTATAGGGTAAGAAATAGGGATCTAGTTTCAATCTTCAATGTGTGGATATCCATTTCACACCATTTGTTAAAGAGACCACCTTTTTTTTTTGTTTTAATTTTTATTTTATCCATATGTGCATACAATGTTTGGGCCATTTCTCCCCGCTTCCACCATCCTCTCTTTTACCCCCCTACTCCCTCGCTACCCTGCAGAAACTATTTTGCCCTTATCTCTAATTTTGTTGAAGAGAGAGTATAAGCAATAATAGGAAGGACCAAGGGTTTTTGCTGGTTGAGATAAGGATAGCTATACAGGGAGTTGACTCACATTAATTTCCTGTGCGTGTATGTTACATTCTAGGTTAATTCTTCTCAAACTAACCTTTTCTCTAGTTCCTGGTCCCCTTCTCCTATTGGCCTCAGTTGCTTTAAAGTATTTGCTTTAGTTTCTCTGTGTTGAGGGCAACAAATGCCATCTAGTTTCTTAGGTATCTTAGCTATCCTCATACCTCCCTTGTGTGCTGTTGCCTCATCATGTGATCAAAGTCCAATCCCCCTGGAAAATGTTGAAAGCAACCATTCGTATTTTTGTTTGTTTTTTTATTAAATCTTGCACACACACACAAAAAAAGTCCAATCCCCTTGTTGTGTTTGCCCTTGATCTAATGTCCACATATGAGGGAGAACATACGATTTTTGGAAGAGACCATCTTTTCTCTAACATATGTTTTTGGCATCTTTGTTGAAAAATAGGTAGCTGTAGCCTTGTGGGCTTATTTAGGGGGCCTTTATTCTATTCCCTTGGTCTACGTATCTGCTTTTGTATCACACCATGCTGTTTTTGTTACTATAGCTGTGTAGTATAATTCGAAATCAGGTAATGTGATACCTCCAACATTATTCTTTTTACTCAGGATTATTTCACATTTTAAAAATAAAAATCTTTTAAAAATCTCTTAAATATAGAAGTTCTTGTTTCTGATTAGTTATCTATAGAAGTTTTTGCAAAAGGTTTTATTCCTGCTAACCTGTTTTCATTTCATTACATGTATAGCAAGTGAATTTTGTTTCCCCATAAACTGTAGTTTTTCTTTGCTATCAAAGGATTTTATTTCTAATACATGTTTTCCCTTATTTTATTCATATTCCAATTAGGAATTTACTTGTCAGTAAGCCTTTACTGAGAATTTTTTCTTGAAAGCATCTTTGTGTTTATTCAAGGCTTGCCATGTATGAGTAATGTGCACAACTTTTGGTTGAGTTTCATTATGTATCTAGGCATATTTCATAATTCAAAATTTACTTGCTTATCAGAAGAGTCTTGAAAGTTTGTCTCTTCCCACTTTCCTATTCCCACTCATTTTAGAAAAGTCCTAATATAACCATGTGAATGTCAGCCTTTTAACAAGAAGAGAATAAAAACTAAAATATCTACCTGAATGACTTGGCCTTGTTTTAAAGTTCTTTCTTTAGTCATTTTATACCACCAATATGTTTATGTGAAGGACAACTGAATAAGTTAATTGTTCCTAATCTGAATGGAAATTAAATTTTAGAGAAAGACTGAATTCATATGGTAAAATTTCATATTTTCTTTTTAATATAATCTCATTTATCTTTTTTAAACAGGAATTTGGCCTGGAATAAAATTGCCATTATTCACTCCAATGCATTTTCCACTTTGCCATCTCTAATAAAGCTGTGAGTATATCTTTTTATTTGTGGCAGGTCTGTTAATAATTGGGGACCATCTAGTTAATGAAGATGTTGGTGTTGCTGATGATGCACACAATGCAGATTGCCCGTCCTCTGTGTTCTCCACATACAGAGCTGTGTTAGGGCCAGGGAGGAGCTACCTGGCTCCTATAGGGACATAAGAGCCTTTAAGTGGATAACTGAAGATCTGGGTGACAGTTGGTCTTGGTTATTCAGGTAAAGCTGTCCATTCTTATTAGATAATCGGTCAGAATGGAATAATAGGTCAATCCATTTCTGGAGGGCTTCCATTTTATTGCTTGCCATCTTGTCTGATAAAAAAAACCTTCCTGCCCCCTTTTCCACCTCCATTTTACTTCTTCCTCTCCCTCTAATAGAGAAATAAGGAACATCACAGACAGGAGTCAGGAGAAAAAGGGGGAATAAACTCCCAACACCTTTTACCACTCACTTCTAGTAAGAAGTATTACCTTCCTCCTTGATTTTATATGTCTTTAGTTGGCAAAAGGAAGTCAATTATAGAACAATTTGGATGCAAGTAAAACTTATCCCCCCTGCAATTTTGATTGTAAACAGAAAAGTTATCGGGAGCTAAAATCAAAATAATTACTTTTACCATTGAAACTAAGGACCCTCCTTAGAAGTTTTTATTGAGCAGTTTAATCATCTTTAGGTTGCTTTTCTAAACATAAACATTTTATGCTAACACAAACTAAAAGCCAATTGTTGTTTGATGTTTTGCAGGGACCTATCGTCCAACCTCCTGTCGTCTTTTCCTATAACTGGGTTACATGGTTTAACTCACTTAAAATTAACAGGAAATCATGCCTTACAGAGCTTGATATCATCTGAAAACTTTCCAGAGCTCAAGTGAGTTTGTCATTAAAACTAATAAGATACATTTGTGGTCATGTAAAATAAAAGACATGTTATAGTTGTTTTCTAAATTTATGAGGTCATGAGACCCTTTTGAATTGCATTTCATGTCCTCAAGTCCCCCACCCTTAGAACACTCTTAGGACAAGCCCTGAAGTAGGGGAATGTATCTTCCTGACCACATTTCCTTTTCCTCTCAAACATGCCTCCCAGAATCACAGGGTTCATGATAAGAGTTTGAAACCGTTGCCCCGTGGGATACAAACTAGGACATGTAATTAAATAACATTATAATATTATTATGCTCCTATTTACAAATTTTAATTCTGTTAGCTTATGTGTATGTTCTAATAAAATGTTACAAATTAATATTTGTTTGAGGAAATAGTGCAACCTGCTTTGTTTCTTAATGATAAATATGTACCTTGGAAGATTATATATGTATGTGTATTTTAAAACACAATACTTTTATACACTTCTAAAACCATGAAAGTAGTAAAACCCCAAAAGATAGTTCAGACGATAGAAGAGAGAAAATAGCCAAAAAGTGAACCCTGAAACATTTCAATGGTTTTTTCTTTTTAGATTTTGTTTCATGTATTTTTAATTATTATAATGAAAGTTGCATATAAATTTATATCATATTTTTGTTATTTAATGTTATGACCTAATCTCAATATAATTTTTCTAGTGGTCATTTTTTGATCGTTTTTCTGTGGAAGTTTTCCATCATTTGAGCGATGGAGATTGCGTCATTCAACTTCAGCAATTATCAACATTTCATGGTGATAATTTTTAATAGCTCCATTGTTGTTATTAGTAGCACTATGATAAACACGTTTATGAAAATAACTTATTTTTTTGGATTATTATTTATTTTGTCTTTTATTGTCTATATGTTTATTCATTTGTGTAATACTTTGTTTGAGCCATCTCTTTCCCCTGCACTCCACCCTATTTTTGGATTATTTAGATTAAATTCCAAAGGTAGAATCATTGGGAGAAAAAAAGATGAGCATTATATTTAATGACCCATCTTTTTAAGTGTGTTTTTTTGTTCTGACTTTGTTTCTTTAAAGGATTATAGAAATGCCTTATGCTTACCAGTGTTGTGCATTTGGAGTTTGTGAGAATGTCTATAAAATTTCTAATCAGTGGAATAAAGATGACAACAGCAGTGTGGATGACCTTCATAAGAAAGACGCTGGAATGTTTCAGGTTCAAGGTAAGACCTGCTACATTATGGTGAGGAAACTGTGACTGGAAGGGTCTTGGAAATTCATCAAGCGGATATCTGAACTCCAGACTAGTCCCTATGTAACCACTTCAGCAAGTGGAAAACCAGTCTCATTTTTTAAAGACTTGCAGAGAAAGAGAAAGCTCCCTTGAGATTTAGTCTAAAATTTATCTGTTCTGTTAGTGAATAATCTTAGCACTTACGTGTATAATTAGATCCTCCTTAGCATGCATTGTTCTCAAGAGTGATTACTGATATCAATATTTCCATAAGCTTTTAAAAGGATCCCATCCCTATGGATGCTTTTTTTTTTTTTTCAAACATGCTTCTGAACTTTTCTCTTTGGAAGACAAAATTCATTTTTATCATTTTGTCTGGGGAGAGTGGAAGATATAGACAATTTAGTTTCTTCCATATTTCAGCAGAAGCACTTAAGAATTTACCTTCTTATCCAACTTATTCTAAATCATTCTCCCCTCCTCCCCCCACAGGGGTATCTGTCAGGAAGGTGAAATGAGATAATGTCTGTAAGGCACTTGGCTTTCATTGAAGGAAGACGTTACTTAAACAGACAGCAATGCATCTCAACCACACCTGTGGTAATGAGGAGGCCCCCCTTCAGACAGCACCCCCTCCTTTCCCTGCCAATCCTGCGAGTTTGCACAGGGTCTAAACAGAAGGGTTTCTCATTCCTTGGGCCTTAATTATTTGTTAATTCCAAAGCAAGTGCGTGATTCAGTCTGTCTGAATGTTAACCTAACATTTCTTCCTGCATGCATATCAGTTCAAGGAGCTAATATTTTAGCCCTTGGCTTTTATTAATTTAGGCCACAGCATGTGTCTTAGTCTTGTTCATGCTTTGGTTTTTGCTTTTTCTGCCTCACCCACTCTAATTTCTACTACATTTTTTCACTAAAAATAAACAAAATTATTAAATATATAGTCTATTTTATGTCAAGCACCACACAAGACCCTGGTAGTATACAACAGAGATAAGATCCTTTAAGGAGTTTATTTTCAAGATCAGTGAATCTCAACCCTGAGCTACATATTAGAATTACACAGAAGCTTTTTAAAAATTCTGTTGCCCAAGTCTCACAAGACTGCATTTTTAAGAAAGTGTATTATATCATGAAACTCCTATTTTGTGGATAGCTAAACCCAGCACCAAGTAATTACTTTTATCTGTTCTGTCATGCAGAATTCCCCAAGGAACACTGAAACCTGACTTGATTTTATTTTCCCTCTTGTGCTCAAGAGAACACAGCCCAGCACATTTACATTGTGGCTAGTGTAGTGTTAGAAAACTGGATAAAATGGTCCCTACACTTGAGTGGAGAGACCCATAACCTCTGATTTCGGACATTGGGGCTTGGAGCCATCACAAGCTCCAAGGAACAAGAATATAGAATGAGAGAACTTAGATTTTATAAGCTAGAGTCTGGAGTCACTCTTCTTTCATTCGTGGGCTGGAACACTGTGTCATAACAGCCTTAGGAGAACATACACAGGGGACTTTCTAATAAACTTATAAGAAAGCCAAAGTCTAGGGAAGAACATAAAGTCTTGCCTTCAGTTTTTTGACAATTAATGCCTCAAGAGCAACCCAAGACTCTCTTCATGGGGATTTGGTCCCTTGAAAAGTGAGACAACTAAGTTTCAGGACTTCTCATTCCTGCAGATGAGCGTGACCTTGAAGATTTCCTGCTTGACTTTGAGGAAGACCTGAAAGCCCTTCATTCAGTGCAGTGTTCACCTTCCCCAGGTGAGAGAGGCATCAAAACTGCCTCAGCAACAGTGTCCACTGTAGACTCTGAGGTCAATACCACTGCAGCTACTCTTGAGAAGCAAAACCTATGCCACCTTGTGATTCATCAGTGTCCCTTCCCATAGGGAACTATAAAATATAAATGAGCATTCATTCCATGGAGTTGTTCTCCATTCACAAATAGAACTTTTGTGGGGGACTGTTGATTAAGGTAAATGTCAACAAAAGAATGAAGCATGTCATTAAAAGTATATGGTATTAGTAATTTAGTCTGAAAAGTATGCTTTGTATAATTACTGATTTTTGAAAGTGAATTAGTCTTCTTTATAAATAACTATTTGAAGACTGGAGATGTAGCTCAGAGGTAGAGCACTTCCTTAGCATGCCCAATACCCTGAGTTTGATCTCCAACACTGAGAAAGAGACAGACAGACAAAGTAAGAGAGACAGAGAGAATTTATTTGTCTCATTCCCAGAAACAGATGGTCCAGTGGAAAAAACAGATAGCTGGAAATGATTAGTATTTTATTTTCAATAATTAGATTGCTCTTTGCTCCCTAGCACCAAATGTCAATCTAGAACTAAACTGAGAACTAAGCTGAGATTATGGAATAGTTCTCTAGGATTCTCCTTCTCTGCCTATGGAACCTCAATGAAGCATTATGAAGATTATAACGAAAAGTCCAGGAGATTTGGCTTTTCACCTGGTTCCAACACTGTTGTATCTTGGGGGCTTTAACCAAGTGACTAAACTTCTCCATTTTCATTTCTCTGTATATCCCTTGGGAGCATGCTTACCTGGTCAATGCTGCAGAAACTCCAAGATGATCCCTGCAGTGGTTTGAGAGAGAGAGAGCATGTCACATGGACATTGTGGGTTATTATAAGGCTGTTGCTGACCTCTATCTCTTGGTGTCCCAATGAGACAAATAAAAGGATAATTTGGCAAAAGCAATCAACCCTGAGTTGATACAATCTTTCTTTTTCTTGGACTTTCAGGCCCCTTCAAGCCCTGTGAGCACCTGTTCGGTAGCTGGCTGATCAGAATTGGAGTGTGGACCATAGCAGTTCTGGCGCTTTCTTGCAATGCCTTGGTGACTTCAACAGTATTTAGATCCTCTCTGTACATTCCCTCCATAAAACTGTTAATTGGGGCCATCGCAGTGGTGAACCTGCTCATGGGGGTCTCCAGTGCTGTGCTAGCCGGCATGGATGCATTCACTTTTGGCAGCTTTGCACAACATGGTGCATGGTGGGAGAATGGGGCCGGTTGCCAAATCATTGGGTTTTTGTCCATTTTTGCTTCAGAATCATCTGTTTTCCTGCTTACTTTGGCAGCCCTGGAGCGTGGGTTCTCTGTAAAGTGTTCTGCAAAATTTGAAATGAAAATTCCCTTCTCTGGCCTGAAAACAATCATTTTGTTCTGTACCCTGCTGGCCCTGACCATCGCCATGGTTCCCCTGCTGGGCAGCAGTGAGTACAGTGCCTCCCCATTCTGTCTGCCCCTGCCCTTTGGACAGCCCAGCACCACGGGCTACATGGTGGCTCTCGTCTTGCTCAACTCCCTTTGCTTCCTTATAATGACCATTGCCTACACAAAACTCTACTGCAATTTGGAGAAGGGAGACCTGGAGAATATTTGGGACTGTTCTATGGTGAAACACATTGCCCTGTTGCTCTTCACCAACTGTATCCTTTACTGCCCCGTGGCTTTCTTATCCTTCTCTTCTTTGCTAAACCTCACCTTTATCAGTCCTGAAGTGATTAAGTTTGTCCTTCTAGTGATTGTCCCACTTCCTGCATGTCTCAATCCCCTCCTCTACATCTTCTTCAATCCTCATTTCAAGGAGGATCTGGGGAGCCTGGGAAAGCAAACCTACTTTTGGATGAGATCAAAACACCCAAGTCTGATGTCTATTAACTCTGATGATGTTGAGAAACAGTCCTGTGACTCAACCCAAGCCTTGGTCACCTTTACCCGTGCCAGCATAGCCTACGACCTGCCTTCCAATTCTGGGTCATCATCAGCTTACCCAATGACTGAAAGCTGTCATCTTTCATCTGTGGCATTTGTCCCGTGTCTCTAATTAATATGCAAGGGAAAAGGCTTAAAAAAGTTGGAAAACTGAAAATGTGAGATTGAGGACATCAGAGCAGTAGCTAAGGGCTGAGCTGAAACTTGGTTTAAAAGCCAAATAAGCATCTCTAAGTTAGTATGAAAATGCTCATACCTATTGATACTTGAGGGTGAATTATAATTCTAAATGCTGCTTGTATAATTTGTTCAGCTAAAGGGTAATCACATTTTTAAGTGAGCCCAGATCTAAAAAGCAAATTGAAATATTCTTTAAAAAAGACTCTCCATGATTTTAATTGGATACCTTTTAAACTCACCAATATAATTACTCAGGGTGGGAGAACTCACTTGCTTACAAAATAGATTTATTTTAATCCCCAAATTCCTTAAAAGATGGTTAGAGATATTAGGAACATAAAGGTTTTAAGTGGTCTACATTACTAAGTAAAGGTTGTAAGCCCTTAGGATTTCATTTTAATGAGCTGGAGATGTTTCAGTCTAGTCTTCCTTTGCATTCCTCAGACAGGATCCTTCCAAGTCACTGGTCTTTTGAATGGATAATGTAAGGCATTGTTAACTCATTTGTATTCACATCGTTTTAAGAGATACTGGCTATTATGAATAACCACTCAGTGCTTCTCAATGGAATAAATCTGGTTAAAATGTATTAAGTTGCTACTAAGGCAATTGTATACAGGTGAAATTTGTCTTATTGCATTCATTTTTAATTCTTTGGTGTCCAAAGCTCAGAAAGAACATTAATTACTAGCAATAGACACACCTAGAAAAGATAGTAAGCAATGTGTGATTTAAAAAAATTTTCTAAGCGAGTACACATTTTTGCAAGAGATTTTATCATTGACTCAAATGGGTATGCATCTTAAGATAATGATCAAGCTGGGGGAGTGGCTTAAGTGGTAGAGAGTCTGCCTAGCAAGCATGAGGCTCTGAGTTCAAACCCCAGCATTACCAAAAAACAATAAAAAAAAAAAAAACCCAAGATAATGATCAAATGCAGACATGACATAAATTAAGTCCACTGGTTTAACTTCTGTTCATTTAGCTTGTTTTTAGCTACATTCTCTCTGAATCAAACACTTGATATGAGGAATATCACTTCTCTGCTTATTCCATTTTAATACATGTGTTAGATATTTTAAGAGACAAATTATTAAATATGAAAAGTAAAAATATTGATTCTTAACTTCTACTAGCCTATACTAGATTCATTACATCCAAACCAAAAGGCTGTTAGGTAGATTTATTTTTATATAAGCATGTTTATTTTGATCAGATGTTTTAACTTGGATTTGGGAAAATACATTTATGAGATGTTTATAAGATGTGTAAGTGTAAATATAGAACTGTATTTATTACTACAGTAAAAATTCAGTGACATTAAAGACAATGATAATAAACCATGTACAGAGGCATATTCTTCCACATATACTGTGTTTCTCTGCCCATTTTCTTTAAATTCAATAATTGTATATAATATATGTAAATATATACTACTTGTAAATAGATTCTGAATTTGTTTTTCTATTGGGGAAAAAATAAATTTGTAATAAAATTTGTGACTATAAAACAAAGCATTTTAAAGTCTATTTATTGAGCTCACAGGTAGATATATAGTCTCCTAATGTTTTTAATTTTGCTTATATTGGACTCATCTTAAAAAATAAATCTGTCATAAGAAGCAATCAAAATATCCTTACCAACTTCTGGATTATTTTAAGTATGATTGATAAGTCATTTTGCAATAACATTGTTGAAGTTTATTATTCCTAGTGATAGTTTGTATTTTATAGCTAGAACCTATACTGGTTCCTAACTTTTTTTTTTCCTATGAAGGGGGAAAAACACACACACACAATTAGAAATGTATGAATAATAAATCAATCTTAAGTGATTCAACATGGACATGAGTTTTCTATAAATTCTTTTTTTAATGCAAACATATTTCATGACCATGTCAAGGCCTAAACATGAGGCTATGTGATTCCCAGGACACAAAGAAACACACAGTTCCCCTTCATTTCCATCACCCTAAACATAAGAAATGAAATGATTTTTCTACATACCTTGTGCCAGATCCTACCAGCCTCAGTGGTGAGTCCTGCACTCCAGAATGGGTTGCAAAATGAAACATCAAGTGCTGGTAGGAGCCCCAGCATTAATGCTAAGACAGCCATGTTTACAGAGTACTCCTAGAGTGGCTGGCACTGTTTCCCACTCATCCATCAAACTTAGCCAAATGCTTTAGCCCAAGCATAGTTAACAATTAAACCTAGTTAATGAGATCCTATGGTGCAGCCCCTGCTTGGTTTATCTTCATGTAAAACAAGGACTTGTTCCTCTTAACCTCACTCCTCTTATCCCAAGCAACAGACACTGAGTATCCTCTAGGTTAATATATCACAGTCTTTCTTCTCACCATATTTATTTTTTGATATCCAAAGTTAGGAAAAAGTCTTGGCAGTCCACCCTGGTCTCTCCTGCTCAAGAAAGTACAAGTCAGTAATGTATGTAATTTTTTAAGAAGGAGAACACTTAGGCAGGTGCTGCCGTTTATGCCTATAATCCTAGCTACTTGGAAGGCCAAGACTAGGAGGATCATGACTAGCCTGAGCAAATAGGTTGTGAGATTCTATCTCCAAAATAACCAGAGCAAAATGGACTAATGGTATGGGTACAGTGATAGTGTGAAGCCTTGGATTCAAACCTCAGATACATCAAAAAACAAAAAACACTAACACTTACATCTACTTTAATACTCCTCTAATATATTTCATTAAAAATATGTCCACAAGGGATGGCAGAGTGGTTCAAGTCGTAGAGCATTGAGTAGCAAGCATGGCCCTGAGTTCAAACCCCAGTACCACCACCACCACCACCAAAAAAAAAAATTACTTTGTTAGCAAAACACAAAACACTATATCTCATGCAAAACACTGCTCTTTAAGTGTCTGATCAATGCTCTCCACTATAATACAGCATAATCAGAAAGAATTGCTATTACATTCACAAATTAATAAATGTACAGTGAGAAAACAGAAAGATACAATAAATATTGGCAGACTGAACAATAGCAAAAAGAAACATAAGCTGGGCACCTGGGGGCTCACACCTATAATCCTACTTGGGAGGATGAGATCAAGAGGAATGCAGTTCAAGACCATCTCAGGAAAGTAGTTCGCTAGACTCCATCTCCAAAATAAACAGAACAAAATGGGCTGGAGGCCCAAGCAGTAGATCGTCCCCTTTGCAAGAGCAAAGTCCTGAGTTCAAATCCCAGTCCCACCAAAAACAAAAACATAAAACAAGTGAGCTAGCTTAGAGTAAATGATGAGCAAATTTATGCTTTCAAAAATGTATTCCTCCATTTGACAAATATTGTGAGCCTATTTTGTGCAGAATGCTGGGGATAACAGGCTTAGAATTTGCATTCCAGTAGAAGGGAGACAGAAAAAAACAAGGAAATATCTGATAGAAACATGAATGAATAACATGAAGGGAGTGATAGGCATTCTACCTTAGATGAGGAGTTCAGAAAGTCCTCTCTGAAAAGGCACCTTTATTGCTGAGATTTTATGTTTAAAACGGAGCCATCTCTGCTTTTCTGCATGCAAAACTCATCATTTTTAGTTCTCTGTTCATATGTCACCTATAACAAACTGTTTTGAATGACATTTTAATAGGAAAATATATTAGGTGGCTGTTATTGCACATAATTTTTCTAAACCATTCCTAAAGAGAAAATCATTCTTATATGAAATAGAAAACATCTTTTCATTTAGTTTTGGAAAAAAAATAGAAAAACAAGGTAGTAGTAAAGGAAATAAAATTAGCAACACCCTTTTTAATTTAGAAATAGAAAAGCTCTAACATCTGAAAAAATAACAATGTCCTGCTTCTTTTGTTAACTTAATACATTTAGCTCAGGGGCCTATTAGCTAGCATGAGACTAAGTCCTAGATAAACAGACTGGGGCTCATTGTAACCATTCTAGTTCCATTCATGCTCTTCAGCATTTAGAAATTATATTTTATTGTTAAAGTCTGCACATAAAAGAGACCAACTCCCTTCAAGCTACAGATGTCCTAAAATATAGTTAGGGTATAGTAACTTTTCCTTGCAAATGATGTGGTCAGTATGTAACCACACCCAAATTCAATATTCTCCTTACGAACATTTCTAAAGATGTTGAACTCAGATTCTACACTGACTCACTCATCTCAAACCCAAGTTCCAGCAAGTCTAACACTTGATGCCTAATGAGTAGCATGATAAAACGTTACCTTGTCTGGATTTAGGAACTGGTGAAAAAAAAACCCAAAATGTGTTGAGCAGGAGAAGCACTGCAGAACACACATCATTATGGACATGACTGGACATGACTTCTGCTCTAGTTACTAAACTTTAAGGACAGTGAAAACATGGTCTTCCATGAAACAGTGAGCCAACTGGTAATATTCCATGAAAGAACAGTCAAAAAATGGAGAATGTTTCACCTGGAGATAAAAGGGTCTAAAAGAAAATATTTGAGATATTTGGATAATTCAAATTTACTGAGTGTGTTTCTGAAGTTCCAGCTCATAGCAGGCTAAACAGTAAAAGGATCAACCATGGCTGCCAGACAGACCTGTGTTTAAAAACTAGTGTATTATTCTGTGTGACTCTTGAGCAAAGTATTTAGTTTTTCTCAGCCTCAACATTGTCCTCAATGAAATGAGAGCAATACTACCAGCCTCACTGGGCTGAGAGTATCAATAACTCAGTACATGTAAACTTCTTATCACAGTACCTGCAAAGTAGTACATATTTAACAAACAGTTACTGTGTTTTTCTCCCTGTAGAAAAAGCCAAGCAGCCTTTGGCGTTTTGCAAATGAAGGACCAGGGTCAGAGGAAAAGTGAATTTCCAAAGGTGAGAACCAAAACACAGGTTGTGTTTACTAGCACCTGAAAAAAAAAAAAATCATAGAGTAAGAAAGCTTACTCTTTTGGAAAACAGGAAGCTATTGGTGAGCAACTCAGGGAGACCAAATTAAGTTTCTCTGTGGATTACTCATTCACCAGGTGTCTTGTTTTTTTCTTTTTTCTCTCTCTT